ACAGCCTGCTGTGTAATCTTCGAGAGGTCCAGTGTCTGATCTGCTGTCTGCTGCACCAGATGTATATAGCTGATCCCAACATAGTTAAACTAGTTCATTTCCAGGTCAGCTTTGCGCTATTTTAGTGGTTTTCATGTTTCCTCTGGTTAAGAAACAGATGAATGAAGGTGTCAAAGGATGTTGAATGCTGTTCCTCAAAAATTAAACCAGTGCACTTTACTGCTTCCCATCCTGTCAAATTTGTAGTACCTACATTTCCTCCATATTTCAGTGCTTGGACTTGGTGTTGTGGCTGAGAAGGGAGCACCTAAGCTATGCCTGTTCCTCATCATTGAACACAAGCTTTGTTTGTGCCTCTGCCCTTTCTTGTACCAAGATAGTTTGTCCATTCTAGGCCAAGGAAAACTGGCCTCATCATCTTCTGATTACTGGCTCCACATCTTTTGTGGGTTAGTTATTTTTTCTGGGTATGTTTTTACTTTAGTATGCCCATTATTCAAAACTGTAATTTGGCTTCAAATGTAAACATTATCCATCTTATGTGCCCTTTTTGTTAGGGCACAGTTCATCTCAGAGTGGATGGAAAAAGGCTGCCCCTGGCCAAGCAGCTGTAGGCCTTCAGAAAAAGAAGTGGGGAAAGGCTAGCTATTTTTAAAAGATGAATGTGGTTTTGATGTGTGTTTAATTGCTCCTTGCCAAATGGCAACAAATTTAACACATTAACTCCTCTTTAAAAGGAGTTAATTTGCCTCGACCTGGAACTGATTAAGTGCTAAAACATTCATAATGGTCAGGTCATGAAATAAGCAAACTGGGGCCTATGGTGAAGTTTGGGGCATGGGGGAAAGACACAGGAGAGGGTCACTGCAGTCTGGTTTAGCTGTAGGAGTAGGGGACAGTTTCTAGGCAAGTAATACATTGAATATTGAGGATAAAGAACTGATTCAGACTCTGCGTTTCTCACCCAGCCTGCCTCTTGGTGCCCTGAGATACTGGCCTATTGCTTGTAATTCTGAACAAAAGAGATTTACAAGTATATTAGTGTTGAAAAAAGCATTAACACAGATAAAATTTTAAATTCTAATTGAAGCAGAGTTTTTAAACCCCGCTGACACATCTGTTTCCTTAATCACGCAGGGTTATCCATGTGAACTTCTGGCACTGACAGTGGCAGGTATTCCATCGATGCACATCTGTCTGGATTTCATACCAGAGCTCATTGCTCAGCCTGAACTTGAAAAACAGGTACTGGACAGTCATGTAGCTTGAGAATCACCATGAGCAGTTAAACCTGATGAAGTATTGGTTAAGGGCAGTAAATTAAAGGATCATTAAAAAAAGTCCTGTCCTAACTTGCCTGTGATATTAAGCTAATGTCTGTAGTGCTTTTACCTTAAATTAAAGGCCTGCTCTTTAAATCCCCTTCAAATCAGAGATTGTGACAACTCCTCTAACATTTCTCTATGCACTTGCTTAGGAAACATGAATTTCAATATTGCCTTCAAGCACATGAATGAAAGCTCTATTCAATAGTGACTTTCATTCTTTATATTGAGTATAAATCAGTTGGCAAAAAATTTTCCTATTAAATTTTGTCTGATATTTGTAGCTACAGGAACTTGCATGATGATTGGAATTCTAAAACTCTTTTTTTGCAATGATACTCTGTAGAGCAATGAAGCAGCCATAAGATCAAGTCTTTTTCCAGGGAATATTGCTACTGCTTCTTGAAGCAAGCCTGGGACAAGACTGTAAGGCAGAATTTTCTAAATAAATTTCTCCTTTGCCAGTTGTCTTACCAGTTCTTTCCCTGGTCTAACTGCAAAAAACAAAGCCTACTAGAATGAGATGTGTGGCTTCCTCAAAGCGATGTTTTCGAATCTGAAGAGTAGTGATTTCTTCTTGCTACAAGCTCAGCAAAGGGGGAGGAGTCAGGAGTTTGATTTTGAAGTGTTTCACCCATTTTTTTTTTTTTTAGGTCTTCTCATGATGAGCAGCATCAAATAATAATTTGTTATTACTCTCTAAAAGGTTATATTGTAAATTGTGTGTTGCTTTGTTGCTCATCTTTAATGTCAGGACAAATTGTGTCTTTAGGGGAGATTCTGAACCACTAGTGCTGGTACTTTCGATTAATGTTAAATGTGAGGTGGGGGGGTGTCCTCATGTCAGCAGAAGAAATTCACAATACCTATTATTAAGGATGCTCTGTCTTTAACTTCCCCATTGGTAAAATAGAGAGTATTTAGTAAGTTACATGTAGAGCTTCGGATAGAAGGTACAAAGCAATCTGTAACATTATTGCTTATTTCTCTTTTGCCTTCCACCTGCTTAACAGATATTTGCCATCCAGTTACTTTCATTTTTGTGTATCCAGTACGCACTACCTAAATCTCTCAGCGTGGCTCGTTTAGCTATCAATGTGATGGGAACCCTACTCACAGGTAAGCACTCTGGCAACTAACAAAGACACTGTTGTGTTAATTACGATTGTAAAAGTAACAACATTCCTTGACTGGATTTTTATAATGATTCCTTTGTACTTAACCATTTTCTTTTCCTTGGCAGTTTTAACCCAGTCGAAGCGCTACGCTTTCTTTATGCCAACCCTGCCTTGTTTGGTGTCATTCTGTCAAGCCTTTCCTCCTTTATATGAGGATATTATGTCTCTGCTGATACAAATAGGGCAAGTTTGTGCCTCTGATGTTGCTACACAGACAAGAGATGTAGACCCAATTATTACACGTAAGTAAAATACCTTGTAGTTCAAAAGTATTGCCATAGTCTCTGGGAGAAAAAAAAGTTTGAGTGCAGTTGGAATGTAGTATGAAATTTACTGCTGGTGTCTTGTAAATATAGGAAGAGTAAGGATAGGCGGATTTAATGGGTTGGAGGGCAGAGTTTAGAGGCTAAAGGGTGGAAATACCCCATTTATTGAACTTTGTACTGCTTTTCTTCTGGTTTATTTCCCTGCTTGTATCATTTCAAGATGTATAAAAAAAAAAAGGAATATTGTAGTGTCTGTTGAAATAATTTGTTGAGTTCTGCCTGGTCCATGACCTAGCAATAGCTAAATTTCATAGCATACCTGTGTTATGGGTATAATGGAACAGTTTTAATTTTTGATTTACTTATTTATTTGTATGTACTTTGCTGTTTCTGCTTAATTTTCTAGGTCTTCAGCAACTGAAAGAGAAACCAAATGAAGTGTCAGGACTTTGTAAAGATTCATCTAACAAAAGCTGTTCAGGGGACGTTGCAAGCATGGACCCTGATGTTCGGTTATGCCAGTGTGTTGAAAATACTATCATTGAAATAATTAACATGAGCGTAAGTGGAGTTTAGGAAGAACTCAAGTCAAACTGTTCTGTAGCTAATCCCATGGCTTATGGTGCCTAAATTTGGAGAAAGATGTGGAAGTAGATTGAGGAACTGGAGCTCAAGAAGTCCACGTTTTTCATTCATTCAATTCAGTTATGGCTGAAAAGAAAATTCTTTGAAGAGGATTATGTTGTTTCTGGTGAAAACTTTTGAGGCTGATGGGGTCAGTAAATAGTTTCCAGTGAAACTGAGCATGTTTTTCAGGCTTGCTTGGTTTCTGAAGCGGAACAGCAACACCCAGAAGGGTTTTACAAGACTCTTAAAAGCGAATACTGTATTTGTTGAGCAAACAGCAAAATGATGGGTAAGAAAAATTTGAGATGGAAGCACTTGGCTTATGTTAAATCAGATACTGTTCCAGAGCCTTGCAGAGCAAGATGGAATACTCCAAGGAAGACTTGAAAAAGTGGTGTAACTACCTTGTACCATCACATTGAGTACTAAGAAAATGCTTTCACTTTTTGTTGTCTTTCAAACCATTGGTCAAAGTTTCAGTTCATGAGATCAGGAACTTCAGTTGAAGATCAGACTGCATTAAAAGTGTGAAACTGGTCTAAAAGTTTTTTTAAAGAAAGGAGTACAAAATAAGCTGTCTGAATGTGATTTCTGGAGAATGGGTATTTTTCATGCAGTTCAGATTGTTCAGTATTTTTTAACATCACTTAGTTTAAAAGGGATGAGAAAGACTTAAGAAGTAAGTGCCCAGGTATTTTTAAGTTGTCATCAGGATAAGATTTAAAAAGGATATTGGTGTTGAGGGTGACTGTGACAGAAGCTGCATTTCCCTGTGATGAGGGGAATGACAGGTTTTAGCCATACTGAAATGCTGACATGCAGCTGAATCCTTTGTGCTTCATGTATGAAGTTGGTTGTCCTTTCACATCTACAAAAGCTGCAGGATTTGGCCTCGACAGATGGGTTTTGTGCATTGCAGACTGAGGTGTGTGGTGCTGTAGTTGGGAGTTTCCTGATGATGTGTGACACAGCATGTGTTTTTGTGCCAGAGAAAGGAAATGCAGGTTTGGCTGTTGTGCCAGAACGCAGTACTTTGACACACTTGAATTGCTAAACTTGTCATTCCAGCACTTATATTAAGTGACAGCAGCCAGGGTCCTTAAATATGGGAAATACTGTTTTCAGTTTAAACCAGTTTATATTCCAGAAATAATTGCCTGATTCTTCAGTGTGGCCTTGACAGAGCCTTTCAGAGCTTGTCTTCGGCCCATGTTGGATGGTGACTTAGGAAGGCTCACACCAGATTGGGGCTGCATTCCAGGATGTAACCACCCGCTAGCACCATCTGGCTACCAAGGATATCCTTGTCATCTTGCTGTAAAGTATGTAAATAACCTAAATGTATGGTTTGGGGGTTTGTTTTCTTTCTCTTAAGCGTGACTTTTATATACTGTAGTGGTATTTAAATAAAAAAAAAAACAAAACAAACTGGCTTACGGCTTAATTCCCAAGGGACTTACCTGTATGGGGTGCCCTGACCCCGGGGCCGGCAGAGGCCGTTCCCCCGCGGGTGTCCGTGCGGGGGGCGATGTTGAAAGCCCGCTGACGTTACAAAGCGATGCTTTGTGATAACGAAGGGCTGTGTCGCGATACAGCTCCCCCCGGTGAAAGCGTGGTTGCCCAGCAACGACTACAACCCGAAGCCAATAAGGACTTCCGTGATTGGTTCTCACAGCGCACAGGCGGAAGGCGGGAGCGGCTCAGTCTGCGATTTGCTGATTGGCGGCGCAGGGCTCTTTCCTGTCAGCTGATTGGCGCCGGGGTGGAGGCGGGAAGGACGGACGGGGAAGGGGTCGGGGTCGCTGTCGCCTGAGGTGAGCGGCCGTGCGGAGCGGCTCTGAGGAGGCCGGGCTCCCGTGGGACGGGGGGGAACCGGCTCTCTGGGGGCCTTTACCTCTTAAACAAGATGAAGGACCCGCTCAGGTGCTTCTGTGTAGGCTGGGGCGCCGCACGCACCAGAGGATGACAGCAGCTCCTCAGCGCTCCCTCCCCTCAGCCGCAGAGAGGCAGAAAAATCCTCCCCAGAGCTGGATCTAGAGTAGGGTCAAGGCGGTGGCGGGGTTCCCCTGAGGGGGGGGGTGAGTCCGGTGCACCCAAAGGCGCAGGCCGGGGACAGAAGGTCCCTCCGCGTTCCTGGGGTCTCGGACCGCCGCCGCTTCCTGCCCGCTTCGGTGTTGAAGCGTTCTCACCGCCCCGACGGGGGCTTGCTTTTTTCTCGGGCAAAGCTCAATTCGAAGTAGTGCTCCTTCAAGCGTACACCCCTCCTCACCCTCCCCCTGTGTGACGGGGGGGGGGAAAGCCTTTTGCTGGGTGCAGTTACATTTTTTGGAAGGAAGGGTAGGGTATGAACTCGTGTTAGCAGCCTCTTTTTGCTGAGAGGATTTCTTTTGCCTGTTGAGATGATGAAGCTGACTCATGCCGTACACTGGTATTTGCTGCATGTGTTTACTCATTAGAAGTGAGATGAGGACACCGGTTAGTGAGAAAATTTATCGCAGGGAATCTGCCATTTTAAAATCTGTCTTTTATGTTGTAGATGCTGAAAACCTGTAAGAAAAAAATCTGTGTTATTTTAAAAAAGTATTCGTTTTTTAAAGCCATCTGTGCCTTTTCAGTATTTTTAATTCAGTAATTACAAGGTTTTGGGGTAATAAGGAAACTGGCTTTATTCTATTATCCAGAGAGAAATGCTGGATAGTGCTCAGAGAATAGCAAAGTCAATGACACCTCATTTTCCCCTGAATAATGGTTGTATTATCTGTGGAAGAACACTTGGTTTTTAAACATGTCATTTTTTGAAGTCCAGTGTGCAGGTTTAATTTCTCAGTGCTCTAAAATGAACAGTTCAAGATACTGTTGTCAGGTGTATCTTTGTAGTTGCAATATGTTGGAGTTCAAGCTAATAGACCTGCTTAATTGAAAAGTTAGCTACTTTCAGTTATTAAATATCTCAAGGTACTTTTCCCCCAAAGATTTGGCTTCTTATCCCAACAGTATACAGTCTGAGAATCTGAAAGGATGTGCACAGTGGATCATGCTTTTATTTAAATTGCTGGTGTTACTCATCGGATGGTGGCAAGTTGCTCTCGTGCGTAACAAGGAGTGCGTCTGAACTGACAGTGTGTAGTATGAGTCCTTGTATGCTAGTTCTGGTAATATCCTGAACTGCTCAGCCCCCTTACCAGGTTAGCAGTTTCTGCTTGTTTGGTTGGTTCTTTTTTGTGCCATATGTTGTTTCAGGCTTTGCCTGGTTGTTAGTGTTGATTTGTTAATACTATTTTTTTTATTGCAGTTATAAACCTGAAATAAACTGAATGAAAAAGTGGCAATGTCCTCTGATGTGTCAGAATATACTATTGGGGGGGTGAAGATCATGTTCCCTTGCAAGGCTTACCCTTCGCAACTTGCTATGATGAATGCTGTAAGTAGAAGTTAGATTAACATTGGCTAAACTAATAGTTTATGTTTTCCAATATCTACCAGCATTTAGAAAACAAACACATGAAATTCAGAGCCTCCAGTATCTTGAGAATTGAATTTGTAATGTAATTTACTGTTCTTTGTGCTGTACAATGGTATCTGGCCCGTGACAAGGGGAAGTTTGGATTGGATACTTTTTGGATTTGTGAATATTTGTGCTAAGAAGTTATGAGTTACATATGACTGTTTAATTAAATATACTGTAATAGGTATTTTATATAAGTTTGCAAATTCCTTCCATATAAGGAGCGAATGATTTAGTAAAACATCTCCCTTAAAGAGATCATATTATTTCACTGAGATTTTGCTTTTTGCCATTTTTTAAAAAATGAATTATTACACCTTACATTTAAATATTTTAAAATAGTTTTAACCATTTTTAAAGTGTGGGACAATGGGTTTGGGTTTTCCCTGTGGGACAATTGGTTTGGGTTTTCCCTGTGGGACAATTGGTTTGGTTGCCTGACAGATGTTTTCAATGGTCTGGTTCTGTAAGGCTAAAGGAAGGGAGCCAGTCCCATTAGGTATTCCCGTTGACAGCTAAGTATTTCAGTGTCCTCTGTAAGTGAACCCCCAAGCATAACATGTTCCTCTCGGGAGAAATACATCTAAGGCTACCTGACCTGTTGTTACTATTAAGGGTGATGAGGGGTGGTGATGTGTTTCTGATTTTCATTTATTATTTGTTTTTTTTACAAGACAGCAGGTGTCCTGATCTATTTTTAGAAGTAATTTCTAGCTTGGCTAAAGACCTCTGCTTTGTTTGGTTTTCTATTAATTCTGGTTTTGTTCTTGTTACTCTTCTTAAAGATTATTAAGGGTTTAAATAACAGGCAACACTGTTTGTTGGAGAGCCCTACAGGAAGTGGGAAAAGCTTGGCATTACTTTGTTCTGCATTATCATGGCAGCAGTCTCAGTATGGTAAGTTATCTTGGTATCCCTTTGCCCAATTTTTATTGCCAAAAGATAATAGTTTTGTTGGTTTTCAGCCTTTAAACATTACTGGTTTTCAGGAATCTAAGCAGGTCTTTGTCCACCATTATATATATATATTGCCTTATTGGCAACATAAACCGGAAATGGCCAGTATGCATTTCAGTATGGTATCATAAGGGAATTATATGGCTGTCGGAACTTTGAAAGAATATAATTATGTATTGTAGTTATGCAGACTGAATTGTAAGAGAGGGGTGTTTTTCATTTTTGCAAGTTGTTACAGTTCTTTGCACTGCAGTTTGTCGAAGGGTTATGAATGCTTGTTCAGACTTTGTAGACACAAAGTTTAAAACTGGTACCTAAAGAAAAGCTGTCATCTTGACTGTTTTGAAAGTCTTTTTCTCATGTATAGTCTTGAATAGTGTTCAATGGAAGACAAATGACTGTGTTCTTTAGAGAAACCACTGCTTACATCGTCATGTGAAAAGGAAGACAGAAAGCCAGAGACCTCACTGCTGTGTCGCTGCACGTGTCACTCCCACTGTAAGAGCAATGAGGTGGCAACGAGTGTGAATCATGGTGCTTCTTCTATTGCTAATTGTGAAACGGGAAGTTCTGTAAAACCTGGAAGCCCTCTAACAAACACAGGTAACTTCATACCCAGGCTGCTAAAAATCTGTCCTGGAAGTCAAATATGGAGCCAGTGATGTCAAGTTTTTTTGCTTTCAAGTCAGGGACTTTTTTTACTGTCATAATAGCAGATTACTACATGATTCTGCCCTGTGTGGAAATCTAAGTGGAATGATGGTTAATGTGTGTAGGAATGTCTAATGCTATCTCCTATGTCGTGTATTTATAGTAAATTCCATTTTTAAAATAGTGCTCTCTTATTTAATGCGTTCCTAGGATTGAACATGCCTTTTATTTTTCATTACAGAATGTAAGGAAAATGAAACACTAGCTTCAAAATTGTCTGCCAAAAAAAGGTTATCGCTACGTGACAATGAGAACGATGATTTTCAAGTAGACAGAAAAAGGATTCGTCCTTTAGAAACTGAGCAGCAGGTGAGCAAAGTTTATTTGCAATAAAATAATCCAGGCGTAGCTCAACAAAGCTGTCAAATAACAATCAACATTTCAGAGAAGGGCTTAGAGAATAGTTGAGTCACAGTCATAGTTTCGACTGACAGCTTTTTTCATTTGTATTGTCACTTGTTACAAAGGAGTCCATTGTTGCTCAAAATTCTTCATAATACCATGTCCTAAATTATGTTTTGTGTATTTAAACACTTAATAGTCCCAAAACTTATTTATATGCAGTTGATCCACACTATTGAGTCAAAGCATGAGATTCTAGAGTTGAAAGTGCCCTTGCAAATACATATTAGAAACTCAAATAATGCTGTGAATATATTCAAGTTCTGGTTTATTTTATCCTGTCAAATGCAGCTATCTCTGGCCTGCTATGTAGAGTGCGACATTTCTGTCATGTTTTCACCTGTGCCAGTCTCATGACTTAGTACTTGCACTGTAAACAGCTTTTATGTTGCTCTGGAGTATTGCTCAGATGGTTGCTTTTGTTTAGGTTTTCAGATCAGTATGGCTTGGTTTTATTTGTCCTTTTAGTTATGAAAGTTCTGCTTATATCAATCTAGTATTATAATTCCTATCAGTTTTGTTACAGTGGGGAATTAAAGAAGAAAAGCTCAGCCGTAATTACAGATTTTGTTGTTGTTATTGTTACTGAGTTTTTTAATTAAGACTTTATAGCTTTTCCCAAACTGTTGTGTGGCTTAGATTTAGTTGAACTGTTAAAAAATATTAGTGATGGACTGTGTTACTGAAACAGACTCAGTGGAAAACAGTTGAAAGAAAATCACCGACTGCCAGTGTAAGCACATACTTCTGCCCACTGTGTTTGAACACAGTGCATTTTTTTTCCCAACAGGTTAGAAAACGTCATTGTGTTGCAAAAGGAGTCCAGCTTGTTGATGCTTTAGAAGTTTATAATCAGAGAAAAAATGGAGAGCTGATTGTTCACTCTGAGAAAAGTGCAAAACCCACCACTTTTTCTCCCAAACCAGTAAGTAATACAGTAATATTGTTTATATCAGGACTGTTAGTTCAAGAGCAGTTTAAAAAAAAATCTACTGTAAAGAGATTATGCATGAAATACAGCTTTTTAATATAATTTCAGAAAACACTGTACCTCTGGCTTCATTACAGTCTAATGGAAAGGTTTCCAAGTGTGTAAGTTGCTTTAGAGTAATAGTGAACTTTGTCGCTATTGCTGGCAAGAGCTGCAGTGGCTTTTGCTCCTAATGGTGCTGTCTAACCAGTGTGGTTTGCAAAGTGTGAATTATTTCTGTGAAAGTTGTTCTTCTAAACAGTGGATTGAACTCTTTTACACCATGGCTCTCCAGTAGCACAGAATCTGGCCTAGCAATTCTGCCTGTGAACTTTCCATATGAGACAGCAATTGTAAAGCAGCTGTAAATCTATTTGTTATTTTTCTACTTATAGTAGATCTATGATATCATGGAAGAACTTGAAACTGGGACCATAGAAATTGAGTGACATCAGGAGTGTAGATTTTGTTCAACTTACCATTTGTTATTTTGTGGCATATGTAGTAAATAAAAGACAGCATTTAATATTAATAAATGTGCCTTTAAGCTGGAGAAAGTTTGAGCTGGTCATTGCAATATATTATAACAAAAAAAGAGTAATAAATACTGCACATGATTAAGAAATAAAATCCTGTGTGTTAACTGCGATAGATGTTGGTTTTGGTTTGTTTTTTTTTTTCTTTTTTTTTTTTAATGTCCACTTTCCATAGCAGAAACTAGTTTTTCCAGCTTTCTGCTAAGCATTTTCTGCATTTCTTGGTATTTGAATCTCACTGATTTTACGTAAAAGTTCATTGAAGCAAAACCAGTCAAAGAAATCTGAGGCAGTAGAGAGATGTCAGGTGCCAAATTACATTAGTAATGTAGTTCCTATGAGTGTTTATCAAAGGCTGTGGCATAGAATAGAATCATAGAATAGAATGATAGTTTTTGTCTATATTAAAATGCAGGAGCATGCCATGATATCATGAAATTGTATGTTTAATACAAATAGAAGACAGGAATGAGGTCTGGTCTTTGTTTCATCAGTACTGAAGATTACTTTCTTCTTTCAAAAGGCAAAGAGTATTCTCCCTCTCCAATATATATTTCTTAATTTTATGTTGCTTTATGGTAATACCAATCTGTAGGTAGCTCGGCTTCTAAGTACAGGGGGTTCTATGTATGTTTGGTAATTTCAGTTTCCACATCTTACAACAACGCTTGGCTCTTTGTATGTCCTAAATTAGGTTCTATTTTAATCAGTGTGTGTTTTAACTTCAAGAGCTCTTTTCCAGTATACTATACGTTTGTGAAAACAAAGGAAGCCAAAAGCTTTGGTATTACTTTAAGACCCTGGGAGTTAAATCTTTTCTTGACAAAAGTGAATCTGTGTTCTAGGTCATTTGATGGGAATTAGATTTTGCCAGTTTTGGAAAGCTCTGTAGATTTTTTGAGAAGGATTTGAAATGCTTTATGCCGCTGAACTTCAATTGCTGGTTTGAAGTACAAAGGCCAGCAGAGTGTGCTGTTGATTTTCAAATAAAGAGACCTTTCTTCCTTTATTGTAACATTTGCTTTGGTACTTCAGTGTGGGTATCTGAAAACTTTATTTACAACTTCTAGAAAGTTCATGTAGTGAAGTAAACTGAAAACTTTGAGTATAGATCAACTAACTGTTATAAAATATTGAACGATATTCTAATTTTCTGAGAAAACTTAATTTTTATAATAGTACCTGTGCTGTACCCATTTGTGTTATAATGTGTTCTCCATGGGTCTGAGTTTGCAGATAAACAGTACGGTATACTATTCAAAGTTCAAATACTGTGCTGTTTAGTACTTTTAGAGAGAAGTAACTTAAGAAGACATAAAATAAAAGGAAGAAATTATTTTTAAGAATGAAATAATAAGGTATTATTTACCTGAAGTGAACCTCAGCAGACTGAGAGCTGAAGCAATTGTCAAGAAAACAACTGCAGAAAGTAAGGCCCTATTTATTGTTAGTAGTTCTGTGGCTTAACTACATTAAGACATGAAGAACATCACAGCATAGGCTGGTAGGTTAGTTTTCTAGTGTAGCTTATGAAACAAAGTTAGCTGAGGTGATGTTCAGCACTTACCATAATGGACTATATATTTAGGATGATACAATAACGCAATAAAAATATTTTCTTAATGAAATAATCCTGATTTGTATAGCTTATGTTTTACTGTAGTCAATCCTGTGCTTAAAGCAAATTTAATTTCTTGTCAGGCCCTTTCTTATAGCCCAAGAGAGAGAATGGGTTGGTTGTAAGAGCATGAGAGGCACTTCCAGTGCTGCTGCATCAGATGAACACTTGTAGAGCCCAGTGGGTGAGGATCTTCTGCCTGAGGCAACTGTTTTTAGCTGCTTTCAGTCCAGAGCCTGGGAATCCGTTTTTGTCCTTCTGCTGTTAATCCTTGCAAAAGAGGGCAGTTCTAGTGTGAGTTTAGATGGGAAATTATACCCTTAAGGTACTCTCTTGATTAATTCTGTCAAAGCATGCGGTCTGAGAAACTGGGGCAGCTGGGTTAAGGAATCCCCATTTATACCAAGTAAAAAAGTAAACAGTAAATGGAGAGTAGTGTAACAAACACTTGGGGTATCAAAAAACAGCTGTGAAAAGAATCTGTCTTAATGTGCTAGCCCATTGCAGTTTAACATATTGCTTACAACCTTCACAATGGAGTTTGAGTGACTTCTGTTACACATTCCAGGAGACTGGCAGCCTGTTACAATCAGGGTCTGGACTTCAGAATAGGTTAATTTACCACGATGGGATGAAGAAAGTTGTGGATTTGTATTACATGCTCTCACCTGACACCGTATCTGATCCTTTTTCTGCTGACTGACATTTTGAATGAGCTCTTTGAAGCAAGTTCCAGCTTAATTAAAACGTTTGCTTGGTTAGCAGTGATCTGTGAAAGCCTGTGATAAATATTGAACTGGGTTCACCTGCTGGTTACTGTGAGAGGATAAACAGCTGCTTTGTGTACTTTAATCAAGAGGCTGCATCACCAGCAGAATACTGTGCTTTTTGAGAGCTTATAAAGGAATAGCTGAAAAGCTTTGGTAATGTCACTGCTGATATCTTACTAGATTGTGCTTGTGTGATATTTCACACAAGAGGTATTCACTGCTGTATCATTCAGATGGCTTTGTAACCAGGAAATGTAGATGAAGATATGAAGAACTCCTCTTACCTCTTTGTGTTTCAAAGATCATAGCCTCAGTGTTTGTTTAGCTCTATTTTACACGTAGGACAGGTTGGTGGACTTGATGATTCCTTTTTAAATCAGACTTCCACGTTTTTGCCATATAAATATTGATGTGATAGGCTGTTTTATCTAGCCCCTGACAGAAGTAAAAACAAGTTAGATTAGCCTAAGGTCCATACAGTCTGGTGTCTGATCTCTAACAGCATCTGTTACTGGGTGTTTCTGATTAAACTGCAGAAAGCAGAGAAGTATCTTCCCCCCCCCCCCACTCTCTCAACTGAAAATCTATATCCCAAATACAAACAGCTGAAAATATGTTTAGTTCTGAAGCCAGAGGGTGTTATAAAGTAGTTTTTTGTTGTCTTAATACTTTCATATTTTACATATTTATACTTGGCTCCCCACTCCCAATTCTTTCCTAATAAATGGAAACTTTGTCTAATTTTATTATAATTTAACCAGCATCTCTTTGTTGTGTCTCTAAAAATTTGTACTTTAAGAGGCAACACTGCTATGGAAACTGCCATATTGGAGTTACCACTTCGTTCAGCTGTAGACTATTTTCTTTCCTTTTGCTGTAGTAATGGGAGAATAACACCACATTAGATTCTGGTGTGTGATATTAACAGTAAATTCTTTTTGTAGACATACAGAATTAAGATAGTTTGGTTTCAATAAAATTTAAAGATGGCCACACCATTTTCTAAAGCATAAAAATGCAAATTGACACATCTGAATAATGTGCAAAGAGCAGGAAGAACTCAACTTTTAAACTGTTTTAACCAGTTTCTTCAAGTTTTTCTTCATTATAAAACACCTTCTAAAAAGGTTTTATTTATGCATTTACATATGTTTGGCTAATGGTGTTTGTGGCTTTCAGATGTTTATTTATACTCTTATGAGTTACTATAAATGAGCCTGAGTTTGCAACTTTTGCCATGTTGATTTTTTTTTTTTAACTAAAATCTGCTTTTCAAAGTGGAAGGTAACATTTGAAAACTGGAACACAGACTAAAGTGCTGCTTAAGGCCAGTACTACACCAATTTCATACCTTTTAAGAAAAACTTTAAAGGCCACCTGTAAAACACTGTCATTTAGAAGCCTTACACATAAGAATACTTAATTCATTTAATAAAAATGAAATACATCTGGGTTTTTTTTTTTGGTTTTTTTTTTTAAACCCACGGTAGAAGAGCTTTCAGTTCATGTTTATGTATGTATTTATTTGAACTGCATTTTCCTTTTGTTAGAAAAACTTTTGCAAAGTAGCTGCCTGATTGGTCCTAATAATTTTCTGTTACTTTTATTTGGTAAACTAAATGTCAGGCTGAGCAATAGCAGTGGTGTATTAGAGGTATGATATCATGTTGGAATTCTGTGTATTTCTTTTAACTTTGAAAACACAGTCTGACTTGAAATCAAAAGATGAGCATGTTCTTAAAGGCCCTACACAGTAACTGCTTCAGTTATATTGGTGGCATGCTAGCAGTGTTTTCATTATTTCAAAAAGCAAAATAGAATGTAGGTAGAATTATCAAGGTACAATTTGCATTGCAGTTTTCTGTGTGAGTGCAAACACAGTTGGGTAGTGCCACATATGTAACATATACCATATGTCAGCTGTTTCCTGCTTCGCTGTTGACAAGAGCCCCATTCATAACTCTTCTTTTTATCCTTTCAGTGAATAAGTAATTATTCAATATAGAAGGCAGGATATTTGGAACTGGCTATTTAATGTGGCAGCACACGGTAATGAAATCTGCTGTTACTGGCAACCTGAGAGGCGAATGTAACAATTCCAGCATGGGTGTAACTTTATCTGCTTTGAGGGCCTGTTTACTTGGCACATCAGTGAACCTTTTATCCCAGTGAGTGACAGCTCCAGAAGGGTTACATTTACATGCGTTCTATCATGTATTGTAATATTTAATGGCGGACAAGGCTGAGAGAGACTAAGGGTAATATGAACTTGCTTTTCCTCAGAGTGGAGGCTAAAAGACAGCTTGATCTCCAGAGTTGTGGTGTAACACACAGCATGATTTGGCATTTGTTTATAATGGATAATCTTACTGATTACGATTAAAAGGGGAGGGAGGAGTATTTGAGTGGGCAACTACATGTTGTTACTTGCACTGTCACCTGAAAACAAAATAAAAACTCTTTTACACTAGAAGAATTCGTTATTTTTTTATGGGACGTGTGTGGACATGGTTATTCATGAGTTACTTCTTTTCTGCTAGTCTTTTCACACTAATTATTACAATTTCTTGACAGTCTTTCCAGTACTTTACATTATGAGAGAGAGTGCTTCTCAGGAAGAAAAAAAATTACTTTTAACAAATACTTTACAGGATTAGGTTCTGTTTAGAATGATTCCCTATGTGTCTTTACTTTAATTCTCATACTTACTAGATGACCTTTGACATAATGGCATGGCAAACATGTTTCTAATAGAGACTGTATGACATGGTCTGTTGTATCTGCAGATTTTATTAAACTGTCTAGATTTCTTCTGTTTGCTTTAAGGTAAAAATGTTCTCAGTATTTTAATTTGGGTGTCTGGTCCCAAGGTTGTCTTCACTGAAGGTGCTGGACACTTCTTGTTCTGTAACAGAAGTGTCCTTATGGTGAAGCTCAAGTACAAGAAGTTTGTTTGCCTGTGTACATACTTAACTGGAATAATAACTCTTTCTGCAATTGGGTTATGATGAAGTTGTGTCTAGTGACTGCCAGAAGTTTTTTAAGATTTTTCAGGCATGAGGACATGGTGTCTATGCTTTAGCATTTCTGAACTTTCTGCAGTTTGATAGGCCACCTTGGTGATTTAACTGACTAACTTAAACTATCCTAGAGGGCATTTTCTAAATAGAGCATAAACAGGTTTATCATGTTCATTTTACAGTGGGATTTTGTTAATCTCTTTTTTTGTCTTGGGTTGCAGTCTTCCGGCCCTTGCACTGAGTGTTCCTGTTCTTCTGGAAAAGAAAGTGATAAAGATGCTAGTAACAGGAAGAAGAAAGAAAATGGAGATCAGCCTTTCATTCCCAAAATATTTTTTGGAACACGAACACACAAGCAAATATCCCAGATCACCAGAGAGTTGAAGAGAACAGCGTATTCCAGTGTCCCCATGACAATTCTTTCTAGCCGGGATTATACCTGTATTCATCCAACGGTATCTAATAGTGGCAGTAACAGGAATGAAATGTGTGTAGAGTTGCTGGAAGGAAAGCATGTGAGTAATTTCATTTGAGAAAATGAACACTCCTTGAAACATGCTAAAATGTAGTTGAACAGTTAGAATGAGTAACATTGTTTACTTCTTTATCCTATGTTGCTTAAATGCCTCCTGGTAATTCAGCTTAAATACTGTTAGAAAATGTGATGCACAGTATCAGTACTGAAAAAAGAATTATGCAGATAAGAATAGTATTTATGACTGTAAGGTTAATGTTCCTAACAAGGCTTAAAATGTCTTTGCTTTTATAGATGAAGAAGAAGGAAGTGTCCTTTATTTTAGGAACATGAATTTGCCTGTTTTCTGTCTGACATGATATGTTTGTCATTAGTGTCTGACATAAAAAAATAGCTGTTAGGAATGTGTCCAGAAAATGAAGTCACATGCACGTAACAGTTTAGGGGATTTAATCTTACTTGATTTTCATTACTATTTTGTAACCATGGACTATCTGCCTTCTTTGCCTTTAGGGCAAGTCCTGTCTTTACTATCATGGTGTTCATAAACTCAGTGAACACCATGCACTACAGTCTGCACACAGAGTGTATCAGGCTTGGGACATTGAAGATCTAGTGAGCCTGGGAAAGAAGCTTCGTGCCTGTGCGTATTTTGCAGCCAGAGAACTCATGGTGGGCGCAGATATTGTATTTTGTCCTTATAATTATCTTCTGGACCCACAGATACGGGAGAGTGTAAGTATATTTGTAAGGAAGAGATTGCAATAACTGAAGTTAAAGGGAAGTTAAAACCATAATGGCCAACTGAAATCTGATTTATATCCAAAAATATTATCTACAGATTAACTCCTGGGTTAAGGTATTTTTCCTCTCTCTCTCATTTTTATTTTTTTTCCCAGAATAGGCATTTCTGTATTCCAAGGAATGCTTCCACTGGTCCCATACTCTGTCTGATTAGTTTGGGGCTTGTTGCATTTTTTTTTTAATCAGTGGAAGATAAATCCTTGCAAACTTCCCAGTTGTTTGGTTTATGGAGAGTGTGGTAGGTTCAGATTATATCAATCCAGACTTTTTTAACAGCATCCTGTTAGTTGCTGTTTCTCCTTAACGTCTTTCGCTTTGTTTTACTAGATCATAATTTTCTTTTTAGATGGATATTAACCTAAAAGGCCAAGTAGTCATTTTAGATGAAGCCCATAATATTGAGGACTGTGCTCGCGAATCAGTGAGCTTCGGTGTTACGGAAAGTCAACTAAAAGCCGCTCGAGAAGAGCTAGACTTAATGGTCAACAGCAACATCAGACAGAAGGATCATGAGCCCCTACAGGCTGTGTGCTGCTCTCTGACAAAGTAAGGCAACTCTTTCTAATTCCATTACATCAATTAGCGGTTTCTAAAATTACAATTAGATTCCTTTTGCTGGTGCAATTTACTGGTTGCTGTTTTGCAACTTAAGTATGCTTCAAACTATGGAGTCACCCAGTTTTTGTTCATTTGAGGAATTCCCAGGGTTTTGATATAGTTAAAAAACCCATTCATCTTACTCAAAGACAAACATTGAAATCCTGTTTGAAAAGTATGTTTCCTCTAGAAGGATTCACTGATCTTTATGGGGGTTACTGTCCTAACTTAGGAAGTTCTGTATGAAAACTTTACCTGAGATAAATAATTTTTCTCTGTCACTTTTTTCTGTTAGCTTACACGACAAATAGTAACAGCATTATTTTATCAAAGCATTACATAGTTTACATTTATAAAATGCTTTCAGAGCCTCGGGCAGGAGGTATTTGGAGCAGGCTGGAATCTGGTTTTGGAACCAGATTGGAATCTGTTTGGAATGGGTTCTTCACAGGTGAAAGTGAATTTGTCAGATGTGCCCTTTGTTTTCCCTGTGAAACAACTTGAACAAAGATACAAGGGTCTGAAAAACTGAGGTACATGCAAATTCTCAGAAGAGACTGAAGTCTGTAGAGAATTCAGGTAGCAACCTCCTTGAACGAAGCATGCACGATCTTTCCCTTTTGAATTTCTGATTATTCTCATGAAAAAGTTGTCCACACAGGATTACTGGTCATTCCTGGACTGTATCAGTAGAATGTGGTTTTAATCATTTGCTTTTGTACTGAAATTGAAACCAAGGGTATGCTGAATCTCTTAGTACCTGTCTTGTTGGAACATAAGGATAGAGGAGTCCAGTGGATGGAGAAATATGGATGGTTGAGGGAGTGGTTTTGAAAGCAGGAGTTGATCAGTAAGGCAGAAAGAAGCTCCAAAACCAGATGTTCTTTTTGCTTCTTTCTGCACCCATAGAGGAAAAGGTAGTAAGAGTGGAAAAAAAGTTAACCTTCAGAAACTATGGAAATACAATAGGAAGCAGAAGACCTGAGCAGAAGTTAACGATCATGAGACAGGATGGAACAAAAGCAAATGGGCCAGAGTCAGAAGCTCAGGAAAGAGGGCAAGAAATAAGGGGTGAAGGCGAAAATCTTATGAACGGAGCGGGAACATGAGGAAGTTGAAACAAAATCAGAAGAGTTTATCACCAGTAAAGAATTTGGAATTTAGCTCTGTAGCCCTTAATTTTTGAATTTTTCATGTGAGGGATCCAGGGACTGAAAGAGTTCAGAAACACTGCTAATGAAACCTGGAGCAGCAAACTCAGCAGGATAAAAGTGAAGAATGATATAAGTGGCTTTGAAGTGAACTGAACTCTGATTAAGTGCATGTCAAGATTGTCATTTTGTTGCATTAGTGGCTGATGAAATAGACTTCAGAGTACACTACAGCAAGTCTCCATTCTGAGAGTAAATGTTTGTGTGTCACAGAAGCTGATTCTCCTACCTTAGATATTTGAAATGTTAAATTTTAGTAAAAGATAAGAATAGCATGGCTGGAGATTTGAGTGCCCCAAGCTTTTTAACCTTATCAGAAAAACTAAGGATGATTGTCATGGGAAATTTTCCAATAGCATGGAAAGCAGAAGACTGGGTGTAAATAGCCAGTAACTGGTAAAATGCAGGGTGAGGTGGCTTTGCCAAACACATGGGTAATTAGAAAAACCTTATTTCAGTTATAAAGATCCTGGACCTTCATTCCAGAAAGCACTTAAGCATGGGCTTAGTGCCACAGAGGTGCTGAAATGACTGTTTGGAGGAATTTGAAGGTATACCATTGGAGGTATGCTGTCAAGCTTTTCTGATGAGATGCAGATTTACCAGGACAAATTACCTTGTTCAGTGGAGTAGGCTGTGTCAGCAACGGGAGTTTTTGGTAGGGAGAGAAGGAGCAAATACACTTTCTTGAACTGAAGGCATGTTTGTGACATTTGTCATATCTTTTCCTGAAAATACTGCATACTTCACTTCAAACCCATAGATATCTTTCTGGGTATCAAGTTAGTTTTATTCATGTTTACTGCTGTATTCTAAAAATAAGAGCTATTTCCAAGTAAATGCTTTGACATTAGATTTAATTGGAGGAAATTATTCTAGGATTTGATTTTTTTTGGTGATATTTTAGTATTAGGAAGGTTACTGTGTTAAGTTTGTGTTTGCATTTATAGTGTGACCATTTCAAAAGTATGTGATGGTTTTTGAAGTTCATAACAGGTAGACAGAAGTTTTATATCTGCAGACATGTTTTATCCATTGTAAATCTGTGTCGTTTCTGTCACAGTGGCAGTTTTCTAATTTTAGTTCCAGGTCTTTCTGATCCTGTGTCTGAGGAAATGGGGCAGAGTCCTACACTGGTGAAGTCCTGCCTGTGTTAGTGATCATCATAGCTTAATAAGAAGAAGCAAATTATAGCCAAAGAAGTGATTGTTCTGGTGGTATTTATGGGGGTTTGTTTGCATTTAACCTGGCAAAAGGAAAGGTTCAGGGTTTTTTTAATTGTTCCACTAATCAGATTATTTGCAGAGACATGACAGGAAATCTGGCACTGAAACAGTCACTGAGCCTCGTTGCTTTTGTTGATAATGAATAACTGTTTTTACAGGTAAATACTTTGAACTGTTGTAGAAATGACAGCTGTCTTTCTGATGCCTCCTGCTGGTTGATGAAACGGACAGCTTTGGCATTCCCTGACAAGGAGGAAGCCTGCCTGCTCTCTAGGCAGAGAGAAGGTCTCATTATACTGCAGGGATGATAGAGGACACACTCAGAAAAGATTTTAGCTGTGCCACAAATTAGGTGTTCTACGTGTTTAGATCAGGTTTTCAGAATGTCCTGTCGCGTTTTGCATTGTACATACAGTTGTAATTCTGCTTAGTTTTCAAATTGTAGCAGTTACAAATACCTGCAGATAGACCTGCACTTTTTATTGCCCCTATATGGTGAACTAGTATCAGCTAGAGTAAAAATGAGTGGCTTGAAAAGTACAGCAGAAATCTTTCTTAAATGAGCCTGACATGTTATATTGTATATTTTAATCCTTTTTCTTTATTGTAAAGATATTACGTGATGATAAAATAGAATGCTATAGGGACAAATTTTCGTCTTGCCTTCAAAGACCTGCATCATGAGCAGTTCCCTAGAAGTTAGTTCAACAGTGACAAAGAGACATATAGAAAAGCAGATTCTCTGTACTTAGATGTAGTAAAATACTCACCATCAACCTCATAGAAGTCTGGTGCAATTTTTGAGGTTTGGTTTGTATTTTGAGGTTTGGTAAAGTATCTCTATCTAAAATTAATGCTGAAGTTATTTCTGATTTCTCTTTCTTTTTACAGCTGGTTAAAGGAGAGCTCTAGTCAACTGGTAGAAAGAGGGTATGAAACTGCTTTTAAGGTTTGGAGTGGAAAGGAGATGCTCACAATTTTGCACCAAATGGGAATAACTGATACTACTTTTCCCATTTTACAGGTAATGTTGTATGCTGTATAACTGAGTACCAGAGTGCACAATATTGATGTTGTTAACATCTTAAAATGTAAATGAGTTTAAATCCTAACAGGTCTTTTAACTTATTGCAATACTAAAAGGCTGTATGAAGAGGATGCCTGATGAAAACCATGAGTATTCCACTTGAACTACTGGGATTTGTGGAGAATCAGTGTTTTAAAGGATATAACTGATAATGTGCAATTCTTTAAATTGCAGCATTGAGTCAGTAATAGTTTTGTCTATTTTGTCCATCCGCATTTTTCTTGGCTGTTGAAATGTATTTACCCTATTTTCAATTTTATCCTTCCTTTCTGTATAAGCCTTCTGTATAAGACTATAATTTTAGTCATAACAGATGTGTATTAGTTTTTAGAAAAACACTTTAAAGACGTTGTTACTTTTCCCTTCCAGTTCTTGTCTTCAGACTGACTATATGGGTGTTTTAGGTGAACTTTTAAAGAAGTGTGCTGGAACTCTTGTATCTGTATTAGCTTTGTTTTTGAGAAGATACTTAGGATGTTGTTAATGTGGGATTTGTTTGCCTCTCATAGAAACATTTAGCTGCTGTCCTGGAAAAAGAAGAAAAAGTATCGATGTTCGGTAAAGAGGAACTGATTGAGATACCAGTTGTGAGCCCTGCCACTCAGATGGTGCTGAAGGGGTTATTCATGGTTCTCTTGTATCTTTTTAAAGATAAGAGCAGGTCAGTTCAAGTCCGTAGCCTGAGCAGTGTGGTGGTGGTGAATTCAGCTGCTTTGACAAAACACCTCTTTTGTTTGTGAATCCCTCAGTTATGGTGTCTGGCTTCTGAGCTGCTTCTGGATTACACCTTATTTTAAAATATTAATTATTGTAAAGTTTCATTGTTTTTTTAGAAAGTATAAAATTCTTTTTATACTTAATTGTAAATGCCTTGTAGCAACACAGGTTGTGCTTTGTATGGGCTTAATGCTTACATTTTCAATTCTTTCTTGTAGGATTTTTTCATATTTTTGTATCTCTCTGTAGGTTTGCAGACGACTACAAAGTTGCTTTACAACAAACTTACACCTGGAATGAAAACCCATCTGATGCTTCAGAGACAAGTGCCTTCTTTGCACGGCCCAGGCGTAAAAAGAATTTGCGGCAGAAAACTGTAGTCCACATGCTTAATTTTTGGTGCTTGAATCCTGCTGTGGTAAGCTGGGTGTGAAGTAGAAGACCTTTAGTAATTTTAGTCTAACAAATGTATATAAGTTTTTAGAAAAACAGCACAATCACTTTAAATTCCTTCTTTTCTTTCTCCATCCTAGGCTTTTTCTGACTTAAATGATGTGAGAACAATTGTTCTGACATCTGGTACACTCTCTCCAATGGATTCCTTTTCTTCAGAGCTTGGTGTGAAGTTTTCTATTCAGTTGGAGGCAAATCACGTTATCCGGAACTCACAGGTAAACTTTTGCATTATGGTTCCCTCTCCTGAGGTGTAATGATGGCCATTGGATGAGAAATAGTGACTGTTCATGACAAACCCATTCTATAAGTGTAAAATGGAATGTACAGAACTATTGCTTGGATTAATGCAATTATATAGTACATTTTCAAATGGAAAAAGGGGCAATTTTAAACGTGTTCCTGGAAAAGTTGCAGTGCTGTATTTCTAAACAGCCATCTTATCAGTTATTGCACTTTCTCTTCTGTTTTTAAGTGCTGGAATTAATTTGTTTAGAAATCTAATATTATATCTCAATATTTCCCCTCACACTTAATATTTCATTAGTTAACCTCAAGTAATTTAATACAGTTTGTGCTGCGTATTTTAGAATTAACTTTTTAAATATGAACTACACCAGGTTTGGATTGGCACCATTGGAGTGGGCCCTAATGGTCGGAAGTTGTGTGCCACGTTCCAACATACAGAGACCTTTGAGTTCCAGGATGAGGTGGGAGCACTTCTGCTCTCAGTGTGTCAAACAGTAGCTCAAGGAATTTTGTGCTTTTTGCCATCCTATAAGGTAAGGATATCTTAATTCGTATTCTTCCTTTGAAACCACACACATTTTGCTTGAAAATGTACTGTGTAATCTCTTGCTTTATGCATTAACATATATAAATGTTTATAAAATAAATGTAATAACACATTGTGATGCCATTATATTGTCAGGTCTTGAATTTCCTATAGGCTGGTATACAAGTTTGTTTTAATGAAAACCCATGTTTATATTTGTTTTCAGCAGGTGTCTGTATCTTAGTGAATGGGTGCAATTTCTTCAGTTTTACAAAACAAGCCAGACTGATCTGCAGGGGTTTTTTAATCGTTTCCCTGAATGTTTTGAAACTATTATAAAAATCCCCCAACCTCATCTTTGTAACGCACATCAGGAAAGGAAAATCTTAGTGTATAACTCAGCAGCAAGAATGCTTTAGCATGTTCTCTGTGTGCTCCTTGAATGCTGTATTCATCCAGTTAATTTCTTATTTCCTTGTTTCTTGTTCCATTTCACTTCATTGGCGAATCTGGTGTATTTTTCTTGAGTCAGGGGAATTGCTCACTGGCATTGTCTGAAAGGAATCAAATTTCTCAATTTCAAATTATGTCATATCTGATTTCACTGACAACAGGTATCTAAGTATGGTTAATCTGTACCTCACACTGGTTCTGCTTTCTTCTCTCAGCTCTTTCTTACTGTTATTTATGGTCAGCTCTGAGGAACAGGAACATAAACCTGCAATATAATTCTGTAATTCATACCCATTTGTCTTGTAATGCTTGCAAGGGTGTGACTTTTTTCATTTGGAACCATCATTTATGCTTTTAAAAAATCCTCTCAACAAAGAAAACAAAAACCTCTCAAAAAAACCCCAATCGCACAAAATCCTACCAAATGAACATGCCCCCCCCCCCCCCCCCCCCCCAGCAAATGGAAATAACAGATTCAACCATTTCCCTCATCTCGAAGGTTCCTTAAGAGGAAAATCAGAAAAATTTTAAAAAGAGAAAGAAATAATTTTCTTTAATTTTCTTTAATTTTTTTTTTTTATTTTTTTCCTCCAAAGTCTTTGTAATAGTTTTGTTTAACTGATGAGGTTTCAAAGTGATGGGTTTTTCTGTACTGGGTGTCTAGAAAGAATTACAGTTATCGATGCAATTACTGACAGTAACCATTAGGTGACCACATTAGACCAGGTAATGTACAGTCACTGGTAAAGCAGGTTACTGACTATAAATTTACTTAACCTGGCTCAAGACACTGCACTTATGTGCATAGTTAATGATCTGAAAAGAAATTTTGTATTCAATTTATTGAAGAATCGAAACAGGAGTATTGTCATTATTCTTTTTACTCCAGTGTATGATGTTGAACAGTATGTGATGGTTGATCTTAAGTATCCAGACCTAACAAATATTTATGAAAGTTTTATATGAGAATAGTAATCTGAATTGAAAGAGTAGAGAGAATTTGTAATGACATTTAATAAGGAAGGAAAGAGATTGCTGGACAGCTCTTGTACCCTCCCCCTCTCACTGCCCTTATGTTTCACTGAAAGGTCATCTAGCTAAACGCAGTGAGTGGTCTTTTTTCTTTGTGGGAACACTTCCATGATCCTAGCAAAAATATTGATAAATATAAATTGCAGACAATTGAAGGATGATATTTTTAAATCACATTGCCAATATTTTTCTACTGATGCCCTTTTTCATTCCACTTTTACTATTCTGGATCAGGTTGCCTGTAAGTCTGAGATTAAGATGTTGAAAACACATAATAATGTAAGCATAAGCATATTAGTACAGGGAAAACAAGGTATTTTTCTTTTATCATCGTACAGAATATGGCTTACCTGCACATTTACATTTCAAACCTGATTTTCAGAGATTTTTGTGGGGAAGTTGCTATATCTCTAAAAAACCCCACAGCTTTTAAAGAAATTATTCAAGGCTATCGAGATCTGATTAATATACATGTCACATACATCACTAAATTAACCTTTATGAGTTAAGCATATTTTTTGAGGGTTTTATGAATTGGAGTTTCAACTTCAGATTAAGTGAAAAATAAAGTTTCTACGTGTCTGAAAGGCTGATGGCAATGCTCTGAATGTTGAGTACTATCTATGCAGATGATTTGATGGAGCTTGAATTTAGGCATGTACACTGGATGTCAGTTTGGTTACACTTGTAGATGTGTTTTCCAGTGCAACATTCTCTTTCAGTTTTAAGAATGAGAAGCCCTGCTTCTTGGATGGCTCTGTCTGGTTCAGTACCTTGCTTTCAGCACTCATCCTGCCCATTCTTTCTTACCTGTTTGCCTGAAAATCTCTTTGATAGTTATCCCAAATTCTTTTGCTTTGTAAATAAAGTTAGTTTTATTTTTCTGGAAAGCCCATTATTAATGTAATTCAGGTAGTAAATTGTATGTTACTTTCAAGAGTAAGTGAACTTACAAGGAGATGTTAAGGACAGAAATAGCACTTTTGTTCATTTCTGTTCACTTTAATAAAATATAGGTAAATGTTCTTTGTCATTGTAGGAATGGTAAATCCCACTTTTTTGCCTCAGTCTATGGAAACAGAAAAAGTGGAGGGTCTCACCTCTGCCACAGGAAGCAGAAGCTGAGAACCCTGCCTGAGGCAGTTTGTGATGACTGATCAGGCAGTGTTCTCCTTTTGCTTGTCCTGTTAGGCAGAGCTTCACTACACAATGTTGAAAATAAATTTCTGGTAGAAATAGAACAAATAATATAATTTAAACTGCCCAGTCTGGAATTTAAGGAGCTTTTATGAGTAGTAGTTGTTTCTCTATATTTTTTTCTGGAATTTCAGGTTGCTCTTTATACGTGAAAGTAATGCTCTACCAATACTTGGTGAAAGTGATGACTGACTCCTGTATTCATGTTAGAGCTGGAGAAACAAACTCTGGCAGAAATTTAGTGATTTGTTTCAGGCTTCTGAAGTGTATAATAGAAAAACTCTCTCGTAGTCACCTAGAAGATGTCAAAGTGCTAGAAAGTTTCCATGTACAAATAGAGGGCAAGTGAAATTTCTAAATGTCACTGCATTAACCTAATCATAAAATGAAAAAACTGGCTCCTGCTCATAGAACACTGGAGATGGATGCTATAAATGTCAGCAGGGTCTGTTGCTGTAGCAGCTGGGGTTTCAGTCACATACTCCTTCCAGTGCTAATGCGTGCAGAAAGCATCCATTAATGGCTTGCATTTTTCTCTATTAGTGCTTCTTTAGGTAGATTATTTCCTGGGAGATTGTAGATTTCTTTGAAGAAGCTGTCCACTGCCAGGAAGAGGTTGTAGTCACTTGTCTATATTTTGCTCTGAAGTGCCCCTTACAAGAAGATATTTATAATCTGTAGAATGTTATTCAACTGTTTTGTAAAGAATTGGAAGTCAACATTGTAAACCTGCATTCTTTCCTAATGATCCGTTTATGAAGATACTTAGGCTGAGAAGTTACTTTCAAAAGATCTTTTTGCCTAATGTTTGAACTTCTGTTACTGCAAAAAAGTCTGAATAAAAAATAATTTCGTAGTTATCTTCTGTGCCCCTTCTATCCCCTGCTTCATTGTTTGGATTTTTTTTTTTTTTAATCAAAATAGCTGTAGCAGAAACAGCTCAGTGCAGTTCTGTGGGCAAAGTCTGCCACCTTGTTCTGTCTGTAATTTGGAATTGTCAGGTGCAATGTGAATAGGAAAAAATTAATAGTAGAGAAACTTCTTTTTATCTTGATCAGGTATTTGAATAAACATTTTTCATTGGGAAGTGACACTTTAAAAAATACATATGGAAAATATCTGAGGTTAATAATGCAGTAGAGGAAAATATATGGATGAGAATAAAACAGTGCATCAGATACGTGTCTCCATGTTTGGTGGGTGTCTGTTCTGAACAGCTGTGATGCCATGTTTCACAAATGGATAATCTACAATAACATACAAATTTTTCTGGCATGTTGCCTTTTTTTAACATAAGCTTAATCTTAGCATTAATTAAATTGCAAACCTAGATCATTTGAGGGCTACTAAAACTGGTGATATTATGCAACAAAAATGAGTTCATGTGAAAATCAGTAGCAACTCCAGCAAAAACACTCTATAAAAGAGAATATCAGAAGGTGAAAAGATTACTCAGAAATCTAAGATGCTTTTAAACAAGATTAAGATAAGGACCATTAGGGTTCATGTTGCCAACCTGTCTGCATTAAGATATATCTTGCCTGGTGCCTGCATCTTAGATGATTCATCCAGTATGTGTCATATCAAAGTCAAGGTATCCAGTAAGGAGAAAAATGCTAATGCTTATAAATTTTAGTGAAAATCCATCATGATGAATTAGCTGACCTTTAGTAGCTTTTCTACAAAATAAGCTTTGGCCAGTGATGTTAATGTTGGGGTTTTGTTGTGTTTTGCTTGTTTTTTTTTCCTGTGAGGCATTGTTGCTGAATTTGTATCTGCTAATTGTTGAGCCATAACTTGAAAGTAACGTTTGTAAAATAACATAGTTGCCCAAAAGGGTTTGAATGGTGTTTTCCAAACAGTGAAACTTAACAACTGGGAAGTGTTCTTCTCTTGAGAATCCAACATTTGTTTACTGCTTTTTTTCTTTTCTGCTTACACCTTCAAGAGCTAGTGTTCTCCACTGATTCACATTAATTGTATTTCATTTGTATTTGCTTTCTTTTACAAAGCGTTAACTTTTGAGGTTAAAGCAGTCTTGCTCAGCAGCTGCCTACTGTTGCTGTGTATTTTGCATTATACCGCATCAAATAGTTTTGTAGAGGGAAATGTCTTGGACCTGGCAGAACTATTATGTTGCGGTATATTACTATTAACATAGAGGTACAGCCCAATTAATGCTGCATTGCATTTGCTGTTCCCCTTGAGAATTTTGGAGTAAGACGGTAATGATACATATATAGTCACTTTAGCAAAATATAAGTGCTGAATTTCACATTTGAGTTGCTGTGTGTCTCATCTAGTTCAGGGCTTAGGTTCTGTCAG